AGAAGACTCATTTAAATGTAAACACAAGATGAAGAAAGCTATCACTTCTGGGATTCTTTTAAATATTAAGCTCCATTTAAAATAAATAAAGGGAAAAACTTCTAGCAAATTCAATATACCAGCATCTCTAGCAATGTAACTACAGCTGACTCTCCCAGTGACTAGTACAAAGCCTAAGAGCAAGGCATCTGAATCAAACTGCTTGTTTTCCAATCTTGTCTTGCCACTCACTAGCTAGGAGATAATGGTCAAGTTTCTTTACCTTTTCAGCATCAGCTCTCCATGCAGAGGCATCACAACAAAGTCTATGACCACAGTACCTTAGCACACAAGGACAAATGCCATTTACTAAGCACTCACTGCTATCAAACGGAACTGTAACAAGTAGCTACAAAACTTTTTCATTGAGAAAAAAAGAAAAAATAAATTTAAAAAAAATTCTGATTGAACTATAGTTTTATGGAGAGTTATCCATTTAGATATTTTAAGTTGAGAAGCACTGTAATAAAGGCTTTTTTAACCCATCTTTGAATCATTGAGACTTTGCTTCATTTTAGAAATCTCTGGGTATTCCACGGTCAGAAACAGATTATCTTAAATGGTAATATATACAATTTTTATTTTAAAGAAATCAGATTTTTGGTATGTATGAAGTACTAGGGATCAAATCCAGGGCCTCATGCATACTAGGCAAGCATTCTATCACTGAGCTACATCCATAACCCCCCTCCCCAAAAAACTGGAAACTGAAAAAAAAAAAAAAATCTTGTCCAGTCTTCAGTGTCTGTTTACTTAATTAAGTTGATAAGTCAAGTTCATCAAGTGGCTGAATTATTAATTAACAATAATAGCCAACATTTCTTGAGTTCTTACTATCTGCCCTACCATACAAAGATCCTTAGGCAGTGGGTTTACCAAAAGATTGTTGCCAAAACAACAATCAGGTAGCCTCAACTTGTATGAAGCCAATATGAATGTTGGAATTTCATGAAAATATCCACTATAAATCAACCAGCCCAGCCACAGACACTTGGAAATCGCCAGGTCCACCTCTTTTGCAGATGAGAAACTGAGGCCCAAAGAGATAAAATCCAAAGGTTACCAACAAGTCTCACTAATTCCCATTCAGTGTTGTCAACTATATGACAGATGGTTTAAAAAGAGAAAGGCCCAGTATGTAGAACATATCAAAATATGTTCTACTGTCATGATGTATATCTAAAAAGAACAAATAAAAAAGAAAATTCAGGAGAGAGAGAGAGAGAGAGAGACACACACACACACACACCTACACCTCAAAATGTTTCTACATTGTTGGGGGGAAAAATCCACCCATTTATCTGGGTGCAGTGGTGCATTCTTATAATCCCAGCCACTCAAGAAGGTTGAGACAGAAGGATCGCAAGCACAAGGCCACTGGCAACTTAGGAAAACCCGTCTCCAAATCAAAAATAAAAGGCTAGGGGTATAGCTCAGTGGTAAAGCACCCCAGGGTTTAATCCACAGCACCACCAAAAAAGGAAAGATCATTCATTTAAATACCTGAAATAAGTATTTCCTTAGTATTAAGTATTTAGAAAGTTAAATATCAATCACAAATGAATGTTATCTATACCCCGCAGTAAAAAAGCTGAAAGGGCTCCTAGGACAGAAGTGAGTGGAACCAGGAAGTCACATGGCATGGTGTGTCTGTCCACCAGAATCCTTCGCTTGGGAATAAAACACTTCAGAAATACTGGACTTCCCCCATTCAAATCAACTCCTTTGGAAAGGAGTAAAGTATCCTTAGACCCATCCTACCAACAACCCTACCTCCTCATGAAGTTTTACCACCTTCTGAACATCTTTCAAAAACAATGATGCTGAATCTAGGAAGTTTTCATCCTTTCCAACTTTATGTAAAAGTTTTTTTAGTTTTTTTGGTGGTACTAGGTATTGTACCCCATGATGCTAGGTAGCACTCTATATCCCCAGACCTTTTTATTTTGTTTAGAGAGTCTCATTAAATTGTCCAGGATGCCCTCAAACTTGCAATCCTTCTGCTTCAGCCTCCTGAGAAGCTGGGATTACCAGTGTGCCAAAGACTGGCTAAGTAAACTTTTTTTTTTTTTATTTAGTTTTCGGCGGACACAACATCTTTGTTTGTATGTGGTGCTGAGGATTGAACCTGGGCCGCATGCATGCCAGGCGAGCGCGCTACCGCTTGAGCCACATCCCCAGCCCAAAGTAAACATTTTTAAAATGTTTACTTAGTAGTCCCGTGTAGTCCCCTGAAAGAAAGGGGACTACAGATAGCAGAATGCAATACTATTTTCATAAAGGAAAATTCCAAAATATAATTTTGCTTAAAAGAAGACAGGGAACTTTGTGTAACAAGCAAATAAACTTTTACAAAGACTTTATTGTGGCAGACGAGAACTTAGCCAGATATACTCATTTATTTCCAGTAGCTGAGACTGGGTGCTGTACTGAACTAACTGATCAATTAAAAGTTAACACAGATATTACACATGAATTACCAATTTTCAAATAAAATATATTCTAAATCCATAACCCAATATGGTAGCCACCAACTACCTATTGAGCACTTAAGATGTGCCAGTCTGAATGGAAATAAGATGTAAATATAAAATTTCACTGGAGTGCGCACAAGCTTTCAAAGACTTAGTAAAAAAAAAAAAAGTGAAATAGCACATTAGTGATTTTTTTCATATCAGTTACATGTTAAAATAATAAGTTTGAATATACTGAGTTAATAAAGACACAAAGATTCATATCTTAACTTTTACTTTAATGTAATTACTAAAAATTTTAATTGAATTGTTAGCTTGCATTACATTTCTATCAAACAGAGCTGCTTTATACAAACCACAAAATATGACCCAATTTTCCTTTTATGATTCATCATAATGATGAATACCAAATATATAATAAAGCAAGAAAAATCTTATTTACACTTTGGATACATTCTTTAAGATATTCTCAAGTAAGAATGGCATGTTCTTGAAACTTCTATTAAATTTACAACCATCTCCACCTATGTTAATAAAGGAAAGATTCAATCCTACAAGTAGTATTTTTAGGGATCAAGAAGGAAATACAAAAGTAAAAGCCTCAAAGCGGGATTATGAGAAATACCATCTGTTTTGAAAAGGCATTTTAAAACAAAAGCAGTGCTTTTAACAGCTGATAATAGACATTTTTTAAAAAATACTATTTGATTATTTTGAATAGTGGGATGAAATTTTCCAATTGCCAGCTAAACAAACTTGTTAAAAAGGAAACCTGTTAAAGTAGACTGGAAACTGATCATGTTGAAGAGAGGGATAATGCCTGAATGTACCATATGGAAAATACAAGTCAAGCTTCTTGTCAGGGCATTACTAAGTAAACACTACACTACGATGAAACCAGCCAAACTTTTAATAGATATCCTTCAATATTACTATAGCAATGCATCAATCAACTATTATAGGATCTAACTAAAACTGCTTTTCAAAATTCCAAAACACCACAATGTTTTTTTCAAAATCTAGCCAGCAAGAATTACAGAGGGCATAGTTTCCAAATGCCTGGTCTCTAGAGGTTGAAATTAGAAATTGAAAATTCAAAGCCATATTTGCATGGCATTCTGCTTTACAAACACTTTTGGACACATCAACCTATCTGATCCTTAAGCTAGCCCTTACATATTGGTGTGCTTTTATTTCTACTTTAGAGGTAATCCCAAGTTCAGAGACTTTGACTTATTCAAGGTCACACAACTAAAAAGTAGTAGAACCAGCATTTGACCCCAGATATTCTGATGCTAGTTGATTCCCTTTCTAAAACAATCATTCATTTAAAACCATGTTTTGAATCCCAACAAGCTTAATGCCAAAGAAGGATCAAAGGAGGATCGACTAGGTCAAACCTTGAGACTTTGAAAAACACCAGGCATTTTAATCAATTCAAAAAAGGGAAAAGAAATTACTAAGAGTCAGGCAATGACTTGAAAGATCAGGTGGGAAAATATACAATCTAAATGTCCTTGGGTGCAGAACAATAGTATTCTAGTAGAAAATGTACCTTCCCCTGAAACGTGATTTTTCAATGTAATAGCTGCAGATTTTTTTAAAAAATTGTATTGTTACTTTACTTTATATTCTTTGAGAATTTTACTTAATTTATAGGCACTCCAAACCCCAATACGTACTGGGTACAACCGGTCCCATAATTTTTCATAAGTCATGATGCTTACTTAACAAAAAGCAAATTGTAAAAATGAGAATTCAGTGACCACTACTATTTAGATCGCAGGTAAAGGAAAAGGCTGGGTAGGAGGATGGCAACTCCAATGGCCAGCATCTTTCTCACCGAAGGCATCCCAGAGAGCTGGACAAAGGCGCTAGCAGCACCAAGGACCCTGCTCAACCTTCAGGACACAGGGACAGCACAACAGTTTGAGCACAACGTGCCCATGGGGAAGACCGGGGAAATGGGGACTCCTAAGATGGCTCTCCGATTCCGTGCACTAAGCGCATTCCTCATTACAACCGAATTCCAAAATCCGGGAGGGAAAATGTAGATTCCAAGCGCCGAGCAGCACCCGGGGTGCCCACGCTGGGATGCCCACGCTGCTGGCTCCCGGGCGCCCCGAGAAAATCGAGGTCGGGGTCGCAGATACTCAGCGAGACCCACACCTGGTCTGACCGCTCGCCAGGACACATTGGACCCCGCGCTCCCTCCCATTTCGTCTCCGCGGCCCCGGAGAGGCCGCCCCGGCCCCGGCGACCAGCCTCGAGCCCCCGGCCGCCGACCCCCGGGACCCCGGCCCCCGCCCGGCCCGCTGACAGCCCGACGCCGCCCCCACCTGCCCGCCCTGGGGCCGTAAGGCCGGGCGCGCCAACCAGGCCACTTCCTTCCCGGCTCGGCCCGCCTGGCGCGGGCCCGCGGGGGCGGGGAGCCGCGGGGGAAGGAGGCGCGGCCGTGGAGGAAACGCCGTCGCCGCCCGCACCCACCGGCATCATCGCGGCGCGGTCCGCGGCGCCCTCCGCCGCCTGACAGGACGCTGACGCCGCGCCGCGCCCGCCGCTCTAGCCGCCCTCACAGGCCGCGCGCCCGCCGCGACGTCCTCCAGCTGGGCCGCGGCGAGGCGGCAGCTGCGGCGGGTTGCGGAGCCCTCGCCCGCACTGTCGCGCCGCCCGCGTGCTGCGCAGCCGTCCCGGACCGGCTGCCGCCGCCGCCGCCACCTCCGCCGAAGCCGGCCGCCTCCCGCCGCCCGCCGGGCTCGCCCAGCAGGCCGCGCAGGCCCCGCCCCGCGCGTCGCCCCCGCGGACCTACGCCGCTCTTGATTGGCCGTGCCTCCACGGGGGCGGGGAGGGGAGGGGCTTCCCCGGCGGCGGCCAGGTGCGAGCGCGCCCGTGCGCGTCCGCGCTCCCGCGGCGGGGGAGGGGCGCGCTGCGGATGCCGGGCTCCCGCCCCTCCTGCGTGGGGGCGGGTGACAGAGGGGCAGTGCTAGGGCTCTGTGCCGGGCTCTGGGAGACCTCCGGCATCCCGGACCAAGGGAATATGGGCCGGAAAGGGAAGGCCAGCCCTAGTCCCCAGCGAGCCACAGCAGGCGGGGACTCGAACCGCAGGCCCCCGGGCCGGCGGGGCGCATCCCTGCTCTGACCGCAGCCTGACCCCAGGGTGCTAGCGCCCCGCAGGTCTGCAGACGCGGGCCTGGGGGATGGATGCGGAGTGTCCCCGACGTCCGCGTGACCGGCTCCGCATTGCTCAGGACGAACTCGGGATCCCGCCTGGCGCAGTCGGGCCCATGACACCTGATCCCGCCGCGCGACTCACGAGGGCCACGCTGGCCTTGCTGGACTCTGGTCGACTCTCAGCGTAGGCTAGCGAACCACCGCCTAAAATGCCTGTGCCCACCTGTACCAGCATCCTTCGAGGTCCGCCTTCCAAGTCCCAGGGAAAGGTCCAGTCCCCATCTCCAGTGTCCAGGTCTCTCTTTACAGTCCTGCCTCCTGTGTCACCTCTGGCCTCGGAGCCTGAGTGACACAGGTCAGACCAGGACCCAGAGCATACCCTCAGTAAAGGCTGCCGAACTGGCAGGCACCCTTTCTGTACGTTCCACATTGTGCCATAACCCTGAACCTTCATAGACGAGGAAGCCAAGTGGCTAATGGACTTCCCTCTGCAGCACTTAAAACTTCCATGAGCACCCAGAACACGGAGGCCTACGGATAGCCACAAACACCGAAGCTGGAAACCACCTTGGGAAGCAACCCGCTCCCTGTAGAGAACAGCTTGTGTTGACCAGGGGCGGTCTGTAGCTTGTCTGGTCCTCTGAGAGGCTGGAGGCTGCTGCCAAGTTAGGGGCAGAGAGGGAGGAGGCCAGGGAGTTACCACCAGCCCCCTTGGTGAGGAGCCAGGCCTGTGCTTGGGAGGCCACGGGGGGGGGGGGGGGGTTAGTGGTTGAGAGCGTGGACTTTCCAGTTGGACAGATTTGGTTCAGCACCACCTCTGCCACACCCTTGCTGTGTGATCTTAGGCAAGCCGCATCTTTCTGCATCTCAGGTGACTCTGCAATATGAGATTGTAGGGATAATCCTGCTCAGATATGATGCTTGAAAAGCACCTACCACAATCTGCCACACAGGGTAGCTACCCTCTAAATTGAATTCCTATAGTTATGTTTATCATTAGCAAGCCAGGCTTAGAGTACAGATGTTGCTGGGATTTTTAAACTTACACTGGGACATAAATGGCTAGTGACACAACTTTTCTGGGAGCAGTGTTTGGAGATAAGAGGAAGCTCTGGGCAATGAGTGATCCTAGGTTGGATGGCAGAGGCCAAAGCTCCAATTCCAGCTCTGCTTCTGACTCCCTGTGGAGCGCCTCAATCTACCCATCTGTAACAGGAGAAGGGTTAGATCTCTGAGTGCCTACCAGCTCAGCCATACTAATGTCCATGAGTTGTGAATGGGTTGGTGCTGGCCCACTAAGCCAAACAAAGGCCAGGCTCTGCTAGGGCATTGCAGAGAGGTGCCACCTGAAATAAGGTGATCCAAATGAGCCCATTCTCTTAAGATGGAGACCCTTGACCACAAGGGTCCTACTCTTGACTGCAGGACCCCAGAGCACAGATAGTGGCAGCTGCCTGGCCCTCAAACCAAGGTTGGATGGCAGAGGCCAAAGCTCCAATTCCAGCTTCCAGGATAGCCTACAGGCAGGTGTCCATTCAAGCCAGGCATCCAATGGCTCCTCTTCAGCTAGTCCTCCTCCTGTCCATCCTGCCAGACACAGCAGGCATCAGGCCCCATCAGCTTGAACTCATCTCTCCCTGCTGTAAGCTCCTCCAGCCCCAGCCCCACCTCTCACATACTCCTGCACTCAACCTTCCTGGAGCACAGACAGAATTTGCACGCACGCGGGTGTGCGCGCACACACACACACACACACACACATACACCATAAAATCCTAGGTGTCTCCCTGGCCCAGACCAAAGTTCACAAGAGGCCTGTCAGGAAGCACCTGTAATGGTACAATGCAGGTATTAGGGTTACATAAAATTTCCATATTGTTCAGAGATGCATCTTAGTACATGTGAAAGGTCTGGAATTTGTTTAAAAACAGCTCAGCAGAGGGAAAGAGAGCAAGGCAGTCAGGAATAGCTGAGGCCTAAGTGGCAAATTCTCCATAATTGTTGAACCTGGGCACTGGTTCTATGAGGTGTGTTGCACCTTTCTCTCTACTTTGCATGTTTGAAGTATATTAAAAATGATTAAGTATTCTTCAAAACAAAGAAAAAGGACCTTTGGAGAGAAAATCAGTATATATTCATATTTGCCTAACGAAATTCTGAAAGGATCCACAGAACACTGATAAAGTAATGACTTCAGGTGAAAGTGCGAACTGTGTAGATAAGGAACAGAAATGACAGTGAGGCTTTTCAGTATTACTTTTTTTAAAAAATGAACTTCATTTTTAAAATGGCTTTAGATTTATAGAATAATGCAAAGATAACAGAGAATTACCATATGCAGATCACCTTGACTTATGATGGGGTTTTTCCCAATAAACCCATCATAGATGAAAATACCCTAAGTGGAAGATGCAGTTAACGCCCTAACCTACCCAACGCCCTACCTTGGCAGCACAGCACATTGCAGAATACCCCTGGTGGTCTCCCCTGGTGAGGGCCTGGCTGCCTGGAAGCTCTGGCTCACTGCCACTGCCCAGCATCACAACAGAGTGTCAGGCTGAATGGAGCTAGCCTGGGAAAAGATCAGAACTCAATATCTGAGAAAGTTTTCTGCTAAATGTGTTTCACTTTCACACCATTGTAAAGTAAAAAAATCTGAAGTAGAGACATCATAAGTTGGGGACCTTCTGTATAGCTTTCCCTATTAACATCTTATATAAGTATGGCACATCAGCTACAATTAATGAACCAATATCAAAACACTGCCATTAACTAAAGCCCATACTTCTTTCAGATTTCTAGTTTTTACCCAATGACCTTTGTTCCAGGACCCCACCTCATATTTGGTCGGCAGGTCTCCTTAGGCTCCTCTTAGCTGTGATAGTTTATCAGACTTTGCTTGTTATTTATAACTTTGGCAGTTTTGAGGAGTGCTGGTCGGGTATTTTGTAGAATATCCTTCAACTGAGATTTATGTCTGTGGTACTCATGACTGCACTGAGGTTAGAGGGTTCTGGGAAGAATATTACAGAGGTGAACGCCATTCTTATCACATCATGTCAAGGGCCTGTGCTATCAATGGGAATCTCACTGTTAAAGCCAACTTTTATCCTATCACTATTGCATTTTATGCTTGGCATTTTAATCAGGTGAATATTACCACTGTATTAAAATAAAATGTAAAAAGCTTAAGACCTATGTTAGTTTACCAGGCCTATGATAGCAACATGTGGCAAACCGAGGGGCTCAGACAACCAAAATGTGTTTTTTCACAGTTCTGGAGGCTGGAGGTCCCTGGTGGAGGGGCTGGCAGGGGGTCTTCTCCAGCCCCTCTCCTCAGCTTGAAGGTGGCTGCCTGGCTCTCCACATAGTTTTCTTCCAGCGGGCGCACATCCTGGTGTCTCTCTTTCCATAGGGCCTCAGTCATGTTGGGTTAGGACCCAGCCACAGGACCTCCTTGGGCTTCATTTTCTCTCTAAAGGCCCTGTCTGCAAGTGTAGTCACTCTCTGAGGTGTACAGAGGTTAGATTCCAACATATAAATTTTGGTGGACACAATACAGTCCATAACAGGACCTTTCACAGTATGACTCTTCCCTCCCTTTTCAAGTTCATCTCCCATTCCCCAGCAGCGCACACCTCATCCTTGCCCTAGCCACAGAGAACCCCACCATTCTCTCCTTAAAGTCTTTGCTTATCCACCTCCTGTGTGTGAGAAAGCGTTTGCCCATGTCCCTGTTGTGATCACAATTCAAATCCTCCTTCTGCAACATTTCCCCTGACCCCTCAGGAGAACCTTCCCCCCACCTTCTCCTGGTCTGTTCAGTCCTGGGGCCCCTGTCACGACATGCAGCTTTAGAGCTGTCAGTGTTTGTGTCTCCCCAAGGGCTAGTGAGCCCTCAGTTAACAAGTGTCCACTGGGTTTCCCCTATGTGCTAGGCCCTAGTGACACAATCTCAAGCAAGACAGAAGAGCTGTCTGTCCTCATGGGGTTTGTATTCTGGTCAAGGGAGAAGATGAGAAATAAGAACATAATGCTGACATTAAAAATGATATTGTGGTGCACGCCTGTAATCCCAGCAGTTCTGTAGGCGGAGGCAGGAGGATTGTGAGTTTGAGACCAGCTTTAGCAACTTAGTGGCTCAGTAGTAAAGCGCCTCTGGGTTCTATCCCCAGTACAAAAAAGAAGAAAAAGAAAGAAATGGACAGATAATGTGACAGAGATAGAAGCTGTTACCAGTAGAAGGTGGCATTTGAGTTGGGACCTGAATTCTGAGGAGGCAGTCTGTGGGGGCTATGGAGGAGGGGGAAGGGCAGGTGAGAGAGATGCATTGTAGGGGTCTGTCCTGTGTTAGAGGCTTGATGGGGTGGGGTGGAGGTGGGGAAATGAGGTTAAGTTCAGTTTATATACTATGGCCAGTCTACATTTTGTCCTGGAGGGTTTCCAAA